TCCAATCAGCCCGGCATTTGTTGGAATGATGGGGACAGGGTGCCTAAAATGAAGTGCAACCATATTGGCATATGCAACTATTTTTAATAATAGTTGTTGCCATTTGCACAAGTTTTGCTGGTGTGTTGGGTGGGCAAGTATTGGATGGATTTGTTAATGGCCTCTTCTTCCTCTAATAAACTCTTTCTCTATTGATTCTCTTTTTCTTTGTTCTCTTTTCTTGTTAATTATTTCGAACATTAATATGATTGGTTGGTTTTTATTTTTTCAATGTAATTCTTGTGCTGCCTTTTCTTCTACAAATATCTGATTCCTTGCCATTAGTCTTTTGTTCTGTTTATTTTGGGACATGTCATCGCCTATGCGCAATGAAGCCTGTGTTTCTTTATGCGAAGCCTCCATTTTGATTCTTTCTAAGGTTCCGGCGTATTTTGGCTATCAATAGTTTACTTTCTGAATAAACCTGTGCCGTTCCCTACGTCTGTTTCCTCTATAGCTGGGCTGTACCTTAGGTAGTTCTGGGAGTCTAGCTAGATGTGGGAAAATCTGCTATTGAGACTTCTGAGTCAGACAAGCCTTACTAGTGTAGCAATCCGCAACAGTTTTGACTAATGTAAAACACTTATCAATCCTTCTGTCAATGAAGGTTAATATCTTGAGAATAAACAAATTAATTCAGATATTTAGACAGTTGTAAATAATGAGAAAAGTTGAAGAATGGAATAAGTGAAACTGCGATCAATGAATTATTGAGGAAAAGTACCAAAATTGATTTCACATGGTATTTAGAATGTTGGTTTAACTTACCAAACTTTTTAAATTTACAAAATTTGTTAATGTAGAACACGGATTTTAAAAATACCTAAAAGAATAGTAACTTATACTTCTCTTGAGGGCGAAAATTTGCAACTTGCAGCAGCTTTGTAGATCTCCCCAGCTCTTCTCAAAGTGTCATGGTGTTTCGTAAATTTAGCAGAAGCAACAGCGACCCATACTCTTCCTCTCTTCAATCAATGGATCCTACCTACGTAATATAAGTAAAGTTAATTTAAATAATTTGATAATTCTCCCTTCTGTGTCAACTGTTAAATTATAGAAGATACTGTATAATTAAGTCCTCACTAAAAAGAAAATATCGTTTCTAATGAAGCATTTGAGGAAATTGAACGTGCAAGGTGGATAACGTTTATTACGATGCATAGTCAACTGAAAAGCTGCAGATAAATAAATTAAACTCAAAGTTGTGTGAATATTTATTTATTTTAAATTTCCAGGCGTTTTGATAGCTATCATTAACTCTTTAGCTGGTTTCGGGCTTCACAGAGAAGAGTAACTTCAAATTCTCAAAAAGTGGAGAGACCAGCAGCATGAAGTCGAGGAAAGGGTACAATATGACATGCTGTTGGGTGATGGCAGATTGAAGTCAAGTCAACTGGCGGTTTATAGACGTTTTGCTGTATGAATATATGTTGTCCAACGTGCGCCACGTGAAGGTAAGTCTATCGAGCACCCATGCGTTGTGTGAATATTATCCTAATTGGATAAGATACCACAGAACGTTACATATGAAATAGAATGATTTCGTAAACTTGAGACTATAATAAAATGTGTTTGATTTTTTAGCCAAAATCCAATAAAATAAAATGATTTTATGTGTAGTCAAAAGCTATATGGTTTTTAAATTATTAAGATGCAAACTAATGCCGATTGGGGATTAAAATTAAAATAAAATAAATTCTTAATTGCAAAACAATGTTGTGAACATATAGGCAAAAAAATTCACTAATAATTAGCAACATAAGATGTCAAAACAGCATCATTAAAAATTACCTGGAATCGCATTTAAGAATGTGTAAAAAACATAAATAGTAGCATGCTTATGAATCAAATATCTAAATAAATAAATGTTATGAATAAACCAAATTGAAAAGGGAAGAAAATACTTGTTTATACAATATTGTGAAATAATGTAAATTATATTTTTAAGCACACATATCCAAAATAAGTAGTCATAAGACATGTCAACCAAAATGTAATGTTCAGAAAATGAACTCCTAAATTAGGCAAATGTAGAAAAAAATTTATTTCCATTATCTTATGCATTTTTTATTAATACTTTCGCTTTATGTTGCTAGGCGATATTTGAGGTGCATTCGAAAGGATAAATTACGCGACAACACATGATATACAATTATGGAAGATGAAATGTCGAACTATCCTAATATACAGATGAGAGGATATTATTCTGATATATTAACATCAAATAGTGGTGAATGTTCAAAAGTATGTTGTTAGACAAAATTTTACCTTTAGTTTGAAGAAAATATTGTACCAATTGTTGAAAATGCTTTCAATGAATCTAAAGATTCATCTAATATTCCAAGTGGTACTAAATTTAAGTTTTATAAATATTTGTATTAAGTTGCCGTGCCACTTGATGCTAACACGAGTGCATATGTTGACTGGGATAGTGCTGTTTATGAAAAAGCTATATCGGTAGGTGCTGGTTAATAATATATTCGCAGAGTTTTCCCGAATCATCATACGATCCGAAAGTCTTTGTTCCTTTCTATGTTCCACCTGGTCATTGCCCTAGAAAAGTTGCCATTGATAGGTAGATTTTTTACTAAAAATTGATTTCAATAGAAAACGACGAGAATTTGAGCGCTACAGTATCGAAACATTACTACTAGATAAGCATAATATAAGTACAACAGATCTAATTCCGAAGCCGAATGAGGATTATCGAGATTCCTCTAAAGCTTGGGAGCATTACCTTTTCCTTGAAGATTTTGATAATGAAGATTATGATTATCGTACGCCGTCTGAATGGCTTTCATTGGGACAAGATGGGAATGTTAGAAAACCTGTCCCCGCTCTTGCCCTTTTACCTATTAGTGATGATAATCATGATGGTAATTTTCCCTTCGTGTTTTGCATATTTTCAGCTTAAAACTTTTAGTTTCAATGTTGTCTGTTTTTATATGTTATTTCACTCTCATTGACTAATAGATTTATCAGATCTTTACTAACTTTAGATGACATACGAAGCAGAGGTGTGAAGTGGTATTGGCAGAGATGCGGAGTTTTGGATTATGATATGAAAACTCGACGTTGGTTTGTTCAAAAGACTGATTCTAGCGACCGCATTCTTGACAAAGAAGGTCATCCTGTTGTTAATGGTGGTATGGATTCGCATGGATACTACTGCCATCTGGATTCGCAGTATTGGATACCTCGGATTCAGCTCATGTTCCTTGCTGAAGATCCCGTGATTTTCGCGGAAAGAGTTGCCAGTGCCTATAAGGCTCGGAATGAGGCTGAATCGACGATCATATACAATCTTTATCTCGATTGTATGCCTACAAGTGGTATTGCCAAGCTGGACCAAGGCGTCCTTGATGAGATTACTGAATTGGTTCTTAATGGTTCACCTCAACTTAAAAACGATAAAGGGTCAGTTTGTGCTTTATATTACTTATTCTATTTCAGTATTAGGAGTATTTTATTGAATACTATTCAATTTCTGTCTCGTTTTCATATGAATTTATGGGAAACTGATTTTTTTGTCATTTTTTCTGAAATAGTTAACATTGTAATAAATAAATGAATCTCTGAAACGGTTCAAAAGTCGTGGAAGTTAGGAAGGTATTCAATGTCTTTAATAAGCCGTGTTAATAACCTAGTGCATTCGGGAAATTACGTTTTTGTACTTCTCTTAGCTAGAGGGGTAACCTCATGTGGTATTGTGATAAAAATCCCCTTTACTAGATAGACCCAAATAGGACATTTTGACATTTCGTTCTCTGAACCACTTAATCTAATTTTCTAAATTTAAGGGACGTTTAAGACTTTCTGTAGGTTTTTAATAATTTGTAAAGTGAAAGATAATCTCCATAAATGTAAAGTTTCAATACTCCGAGTAATGTTCTGAATTAGGGTGTGGCTCAATGGCTCCTTCTACTATGTCAACCATCTAGTGATCAGTGAGCATATTTACACATTCAGTGACGCGGATGTCCAAACACTGGCTAGCTCTGGTCAACATGAGAATTCAAGTATGAATTTATCATCAGAGTAACTACAGAAACCCCCCTCCACTCATCATAATGCATTTGGGACGTTTTCTGCCAATGCCATCATTAATCATTCTCTAGTCTGAATGAAGGTGATTGTCAATAAGGTACTAGAAAACTTTTGTCAAATTAAAACTGGGCACATATTTATTAGGACAAGGTAATATATATTTTTTAGCTTCCTTTGTGATAAATTAATTTGTTCATAGCACCAGATAATAAGTTCATGTCTCAGTGAGATTTGATATCAATCATCCATGACCAGCAGAGCCTCTTATCGCCCTAATTCCATTAACCCGCTCAGCCCTAGGGATAAAAAATGGAGGATGTGATTGATGACTCATGATGAAAGTGATCGGAGATGACGCGTCACACTTTCCGATCCTTTATTTACGAAGAACGAGTTCATAAATAACTATTTAATGGAATAGGAATGTCTGAAGTGCTGAAAACACGATGACCATTCTAATCCTTTTGATGATGAGATCAAATTTCATTGAGCTACACCTTCTCTAACCACAGGAAGAAAGAAGGCTGCTCATAGCTCAAAAATTGACCTTGTGTTCACCAGAATTTTTTTAAATATATTATAAGTGAAATGAATGACTGGTTGTCTGCTTAGCTAATAATTCCTTTATCGACGTCAACACGCAGCCAGTCGCGAGCGTATAAACTCAACAATTGGCATTGTTGCGTATACTAAGTTAGACTTAAATTTCATTTTGATGCACCGAAATTACTCGATTCGGCGCAATAAATGGTACTGACTATGAGTATATCTAAGTCGCATTTATTTCCATGGGCCAGTTTAGGCTAAATATAAATCATAGACTAGGTAGACTCGAGTGTGTCTTACCAAGAATAACTCCAATGGCTTGTCGTGAAGTCTAGGTGGTAGATTAAACTTCAGTACATTTAAACCATACCCTATTAATATAAACATTTCTAATTAGTAAGTTTGAGGCATTGAAGCGGCTAAGAAGGCCTATAATACTGGGTGATGACTGTAATCTAATGCTTAAGCAAAGTTTTAACTAAATGAGCACTCTGAGGCTGTACATTTGAGCATATATTATAATTTCATGAGAAACTAACAAAACGCTTTAATCCGAAGGTAAAATTGGGCATTTTATCCTCCTAACAGGCTAGACAAAGTTATACAGCTTTTACAGAGGGAAATAACGACAGATCACTGGAGAAGTATGAATGATATAATAATGCGAAAGATATGCGCCAAAAATTTACCCGAATACGCTTTCATAAAGCCACCAAATATACCCAAACAGAAAGCCCGTTGGAAGGGAACTGTGGAAATACCCCAATTTGATTTCAAAGCGACTAAAGAGAAATTCACGTTCAATACAATGTTTACACGACCCGAAGTTATTACAGCAAGCGCTCTAGCTCAACTAGAATGTCTTAGTGCTAAGGAAAAGTACCTCCTCAACTTTCCTATCATTAAAGCAGTGAGAATCGAAGAATTCGAGCAGCTTCAGACGCAGACTTGTCAGCAGACATCCTCATATTTAAAAGTAAGTTGTCTGCCTTCTTTTGGAGCCTCTCATATTAGACCACTTGGATTGAAAACATCTCCCGGCAAATTCGATTAAATTTGCGAGAGAGCGGAAAAGGCTGGTTCAACATATATGAAACCGACTACTATGTGTACTCCAAGTCCAAGCTGAAGAAATTTCTTGATAGTATTCGATTCTGTATGCAAGATGCTCTCAGGTATAATGTCTTTGGCTCCCTCAACGGTTTCGTGAATATGATCGAAGATACCTGTGTCGACTGTCTCGATCTGCCTAAAGACTATGAATGGCTTGATGACCTGCATAGCAGTCGAATTTTGTAAGTTTTGGGGTTACTTGATTTTCTAATAATCGTCTAGGCCGAAACACAACCCCATCTTCCTTGTGGATTTGATTATTGATTCTGATGGTGTCCATTACAATATAAACTTAGAGGACTTTGAAAAGTGTTGTATACAGGTCTTTGACAAAGCTATAAACTCTGTGCAGAATATATCGCAAATAGAGCGGGTAAGTTAGTATCTAATGCGGTCGTATTTCGGTAGTTTGTTGTTGAGGGGATGAGCTGGTCTGAAGATCCTTTGATTGAAGCGGTGGGTATCCGTGAACCAGAAGTTGAAATTTTGCGAAAGAAGCTCCGAAGCATACTACAATCAGCATATATTCCCATGAATGCCTATTCGAATCAGTACAAATCGTATATTGAATTATCGAATTTGGAAATAACCTCATATGTTTCGTAAGGTTCTAGTTAAATATTTATTGACCTCCATCGTTAAGTGGGCAATCGAAATATCCTTCCTTTTTTATATTACAGTGATTTCCAACGAGTTTATGAATCCCAAAGCCTAAGTGCTTACGACTTGAAGATTGAAGCTACTAAACAATTCGAGGAATCGAGAGTCATCGAAACCGTTATGCCGACGACGATTACCATTGGCCCATTCCTCGTTAATGTGGAGACATTACGTGGCCGCCTGATGAAAAAACGGATAGATATGGCGAAAGCGATTCTAGACCTACTCGCAAGTCAACTTAGAAAGCATTCAGACAACGTTAGTTCCAATAACTAGTCTTTATTTCCTTTTGTTTTCTAAACATGGCCGAGAGTTTTTAGGCATTTTATCAAGGCAGAATTAGTTGAACCACTAAAGACGAATATCTGCAGGAAAGTTGGGTTGACCGATGGAATTTGTTATTTCTCGTTGGTGCATGAAAATTTGCCGAGGCATTACCCTAGATTTCGACACATTTTCGGTGGAAAATAAAAGTTTAATAAGTCAAATTCTAACTAGAATTGAAAAAATTCTAAAAAATGTGGAATTCTACCTAGAAGATAATATTTATACATGGGGAAGTAGGATGATGCGGAAAGGGACATTCTCTATTTGTCAAGACTATTCTGCATGTACATTGCCGACACTATCAAAATAGCGTTATCACGTACTATTACCTCTTTAAATTTTAACTAAATGTCAAGTGATTTTTTTTCTATTTATGCAGATTTGTGATGTTTTCGAGGGAATAGCTCGTAAACTCTACGAGAAACCCAACACAATAGAGGAGCTAACGTCAATGCATGAATATATCAGTAACATTCCTGACTTGCTTGAAGAGCAACAGGAATGCATTGAGAAAGTACTGAACCAGTACGATTTCATCGATGAATTTTGCTATAACCTCAATGACGATGACTTTACCGTTAAATGGACTGCTCTTGCTTGGCCAAATAAAATAGGAAAACTCGTGGAAGAGATTGAGAAAAGCTTGGAAGAAGACGAGGAACGATTCCGGAAACTTCAGATCTCTGATCTGGCTGCATTCTCTGATAAGATTGATAGCCTAACGGTTAGTATTCCAGTCCTCCTTTTTTCAGAAACCGTTCCCTTTTTATTAACATCAATTTACCGTTTAGATGATGGTATCTTCCACGGCTGCTTACACCGATATCGGAAAAGCTCATGAAATTGCAAACGAAGTTAGAAGACTCCATAAACAACTGCTTGAAGCCCAACAGACTGCTCTATTGTTTAATAGTCGTGAAAGACTGTTTGATATGCCCATTACGAACGTAAGCTTATTGAAACATCGCTAATTTTTCCTTTTATAGTTTGATAGAATCACCACCCTATTGAAAGACTTCGAGCCTTTCCGAGTTATGTGGATTGCTGTTTCAGACTGGCTCAAGACCCAGGATGCTGTTATGACTGATCCGCTCTCATCTCTCGATCCTGTGGCTATTGAGAAACAGGTCACAGAAGGTTACAAGGTCATGCACAAATCAATCCGAGTGTTCAGCGAGTTGCCAGGTGTTCAAGAAGTTGCTAATCAAATCAAAATGGCCATTGAAGAGTTCAAACCCTTCGTCCCACTTATTCAAGCTCTACGAAGTCCTGGCATGACGAGCAGAATGTGGGAGATGATTAGCGACCGGACAGGAATTCTAGTTGTTCCGAAAGCGTCACTCACTTTTGCCAAATGTCTTGAAATGCACCTCCAGGTTAGCCACTTAGCCCATGTAATCATGTGGGTCAGTATAGACTGTAGATTTTCAAGATCGATAATTAAATAAGTTCATATTAGTTTACAGTTTATAAATGTCAGTTAAACAGTTCATCCCCATTAGATGTCGATTCAAAGTACGATTTTCATTTCTCTTTTAACAATTTAGGATCATATCGATGTAATAACCGAGGTTGCAGATATTGCTGGAAAGGAATATTCTCTTGAATCTGCTTTGAATAAGATGATGCATGATTGGGAAAGCATCAACTTTGAAGTCCAACCATATAAACAGACGGGTACATACATCCTCAAAGTAGCGGAAGAGATTAATCAACAACTTGATGACCATATCATTCTGACGCAAGCAATGAGTTTCTCTCCCTACAAGAAACCGTTTGAAGAACGTATCTCAGCTTGGGAGAGCAGACTCCAGATTACTCAGGAGGTTATCGATGAGTGGATAAATTGTCAAAAAAGTTGGCTTTATCTTGAGCCTATCTTCTCTTCTGAAGATATTGTCCGGCAGTTGCCAGTGGAAGGAAAACGCTTTGGTACGATGGAGAAGATATGGAGGAAGATCATGAGGATTACCCATGATCATCCCAATGTCATTACTCTGTGCCCTGATAGCAGGATTCTTAATAACCTTCGAGAGTGCAATAATCTCCTTGAGCAGGTCCAAAGGGGACTGAGTGAATACTTGGAAATGAAACGTCAGGCTTTTCCAAGATTCTTCTTTTTGTCCGATGATGAATTGCTTGAGATTCTTTCTCAGACAAAGGATCCCACTGCTGTGCAACCTCACCTGAAAAAGTGTTTCGAAAATATTGCCAAGGTAGGCGAATATATACAGCTCTACATCTTTTTTAAGCCTCTATTATTTTGTTGGTTGCGCAGATTAAATGCTATTCTAATTCAATAATAATTTCAGTTAAATATGTTGAGAATTATAAATTATCTCCAAAATATATTTGATCTTTAAGTCTTTTCTTTATTTATATCAAATGGCAGGCTTTATGATATTTACCATTGGCCCCTAAATTGACTTTGGGCTTCACAGAGGATAAGAACAT